CTCTAAAGCAGTTTGGTGCTGACCTATACCAGGCTTATCGCTTACAGCAAATGGATCAACAAGGGACTACCGCTGCGCCTGAAGGAGCGGCGCCAGGTTGCTCGCGAACTACATCAGCGGATGTATAGTGCTTTTGCTGAGTAAGTTGTCATCATATCACCTCGAGCTTTGCGCAGTCAATTAACCAGTTCTTTTGATCGTCTATAGCGGAGATGTCAATACCCTGCGCAAGATCTGTTGCAGCGGCCTCGCAAATAACCTCAGCTCCCGCGTAGCCAGCCGTCCGAAGGATGAGAAGGTCACTTGGGCCCTGGACAAATACAATCGCACACCAGGCACGCTCTTCACTGGTCTTCGCGTCTTGGCTGATCGCGCCACACAAATTCCAGACTTGCCTGATTCTGGAGTACGGCAGGTCGTTGTGCGCATCACTAGCCGTCAGTCAACGAGCAAGGTCACTATCCCCACCAAGCGCGGTGCTGAAAGCGCTGTCGCCGCAGAGCCTGCGCCAGCTAAGCAACAAGACTGCACGGAATACATCGTTATCCAGAAGCTTCGGTGGACTGGTGAAGAACAGGAGTGGCGTATCTGGGGCCATGCCACTCCCACGACTGTCGAAGATCTCGACAGCCCCTTCTTTGCCCCGGGACTCACACTCTCCGAGCGCATGGATGCTATGAAGGACATGATGACAGGAAAGAAATGATGTGAATCGTTCTTTTCAACCTATCACTTAATTCACTGCGCCATGTCGCAGTTCAAATCCCCCTATGCCAGTGCGTTCGGGGCCGATCGTCTTGAGAATCAGTCTCCATTCTGTTATCAACCCGGCGAACAACAAGTATTGTCCGCATTGAGTTATCGAGAAGAATTCCATGCTCTTCTCGATTGCGAATCGCCTGCATGTGGGCGGCTTCATAGCTATCCAAGTGCCGGCTACTTTCCATTCTCGCATGTGTTATACTTATGCAGAATCTTTGGTCGTGCTTTCTTTCCACTTGGGATCGTCCCCTCACATTCCTTATGAATTTGTATTATTCAGCGGGATAAAGGGAGTCTGGACCATTAGATCTCGTTACGAACTGTACCATATCAATTTTGTATTTCTCGTTATTCATGTAATTACTGGACATATCTCAAAATTGGACTGCCAATACGTCCAAGGCAGAAATACATACCATGTCCTGAAGGTGAATTATGAAACAGGGGTGGTATCTCATCAGAAGACAGTCAGTCCAACGTCAAAGAAGCAATATGTACATCGGGGGCTATGCGAAAACGATTGGAAATATGACAGGGGAATCAAGAATGACGATTGAAATGTGTAATCTGCAGCATAAACAGAGTTCGACGGACATGCTTTCTGAACTCCTAAACATGGGCCTGAAAGAGATATAGAGCTCTCAGTCCGGTAGGGAGACTGAAATCTAGTCATCATCGAATATCTGGAACGTATTGACCAGAATGGTCTCAATAACGCGGACCTGCCAACCGGCATCGGCAATGTTGCCGCCGGAACTGGCACCCATGAGAGTAGGTCTAGCGAGGCTTGTCAGTTTCCGAAGTCTCGCAGAGAACGAATATGAGCGGATGGGGTCAGCGACTTACCCAAAGCAGATTGCAATATTCCCTGCATTCATACGATTATTCATGTAATGTTCCTGGACTTTGTTGAGGTGCTAGAATCGAGCAAATTAGACATTGGCAGATAGAAAGATGGGGGAATACCGAATTACTTACAAGTATCAGAGCCCTCAGCGTGGCGTAGTGCGCATCTGGAAGGTTGTTGACAAGTGCATGCAGTGAATCCCTCCGCTGGATGTCATCATCGATCCCTACGGAAATACGTGTCAGCTACTCAGCTCTTGTCATATGGCAACCCGGGTTCGAATCGAGGTACTTACGAGCTGCATTAATGAAATCAGAATAGTATCGGGAAGTGAACAAGGGATCAGGCAGTTCTCTAAAGAACTGTTTCAGCAGCCCGGCGACACTATTGACATCGTGATAGAAGCTCTCGGGATTCGTAAAATCCACTTGTGAAGAGTCTGCCATCCATAGAGGTCAGCGTTTGGCGGAGAGACGGGTTAAACTGTGGTTACACATACCGTTGTCGAAAAGCGACTTCATATGGTTGATGTGATTGGCGCTCCCAGAGAGACGGTAAATGCCTTCCACATCTAATCCAAACAATTCTATTGCCTGGAGGCATTGGTAAACAATCATGGGTACGGCAGTCCCATCTCTGGTGTATAGATCTTCCAATGACACCCCGAAGACCGGCCTCAGAGGAGGGAGATTCTGTTGGAAGTTGTTTCCAGGTGGAGGCAGAGGATTAGCCGGTGCCGTCATGGGCAGTGTGTTCACATTGTGCTGATCTTGAGCCGGTAATCCAGAAGAGGTCGGATAAGGTGGTTGAAATGGGGGTGGCGAGGAGAAGGAGTCTGGATGTGGCTGAAAAGACGATGGCTGGGTGCTTTGAGCGGACGCTGGTGCCGGAGACGGGGCCGCAGCCGGTCCAGATGGCTGAGTGGAGGGCTGACTGATAGGAAGATGTTGTTGGGAAAATGATGAAGGAAACATGGTTGACTGGCGCTTGTTCTGTGTGGAAGGCTGCGAGGCCGGAGCAACAGGTGTGGGCGTACCTCCCAGTGTCTAACACGAGATGAGCATGCAGATAATAATGATCGATGAAAATTAACGTACCGGATGACGCTGGTACTGAACCTGCTCCGAAGTCACCGCACCAGGATTATGTTCGTAGCTGAGAATATAATCCTGGAAGTCCTTCTGGTTATCAATCTGCCGTACCACCTCATACAGACTTCTTGGTCCAATAGAGCCATTGCCTGCGCCCTCATCTAAAGGCGTAATGGATAAGCCTTGTCCCAGCAGCAATTTCTCATTAAATGTTGCTGAAGCATGAGTTAGCGCAAAGATCAAGAAACCGGTTCAATGTCGGGACGCAATGACAATCATACCGAACTTTTGTAGCTGCAACGTAAGACCAGAGTCGCACTCTGCAATCAATTTCTGGATGTTCTGCACAGCCTGCGGACGATGGGTGGAAATCAGTTCTCGTCGAGCCGCTTGTGCGGCCGTGACCTTGGCAGCATAATCCCCGTCCGCATTTTGCACTTTGCGCAACAGCTCTTCTTCGTGTTGGGCAGCAGATTTATGTCCCTTCAAGCCAAACTTCCCGCCCTGTTTGTCCCCGGTTTTCACGCGGTCATACTGCTCCGCAAGAGATTCGTACTTGGCCTTTGCTTTCTCCGCTGCCGCCTCAGCCTCAGTAACCCTTTTCTCCGCGCTCAGGCCGGTTTGTTTCCATTGTTTGCGTCCCTTCTCGATATTCGTGGCGAGCTCGTGGAGGTCGTCAGCCATCTGCTGCAGAGATACTGCGAATTGAAGTCCATGATCCGCCATGCGTTCGTGGAATCGATTGAGATCATTGTAGCTGGAGCCGTAGGTGCCTTGACGGTTGTCGGGGCGGTTGGCAGCGTCATTGAGAGAGCGAGACAACTTCCTCAGACCCTGTGCATGTTCTTCTTCCAGAGAGGACCGCTTCTTGAGAAATGCGGAGAAATCCTGCATTTTTTTCGGTCAGCGCAACCTTCTTTCTTCTAACTGTAGGATCGGAGGGGTTGGCATGAGGCGACCAGAACGCACCTTCGCAGAAGCTACGCTCTGCTTCAATCGTGCCAGGAGCGTTGTGATACCGATCTAAGATATTAAGAGCTCGGGTCAGCTGCAAGTCCTCCGTCTCGCGAATTGTGGGATGAAGCTATGATATGAGTCACCCACATCGGAGTAAATGACTTTGTCCAGGCGAGCTTTCAGCTCCTCTGTCATAGGCGGTGGCCCCGGACGAACTTCAGACTGTCCCGCAGAGCCAGCACTCGATGGTGGCGCATCAGGATCCCTGAGCACTGGAACAATTGGCGCCGAGCCGTCGGGAGTAGCAACGTCTGCCATAGAAAATCCTGCTGAGAGAATCGACGGTAGGTAACTGTGAATCAAGCGCAGTCGTTGTGTTTCTGAAGATGAGTGGATAGTCAAGAGTCTACGAGATAGTTATCGCTTTGTCGAATTGCGGAAGCCTAAATGGTGGGGAGTACGGAGTACGGAGTACGGGATGCTACTAATAATAATATGCTGGTGCGGATGCGGATGGTTCGTTGGCAGAGCGGCAGTATGGCTGGCGGTGGGGATGGGGTGGAGGGCTTGCCTTAGTGGAGGCTTGGTACCTTAGGTTTCAACCGCTGAGGTACCTTACAGAACATGCTTTATTCGACAGGTACCTAAGTAACTAAGTAAGGCACCTTAGCCTCTTGATGATTGAAGCATTCAAAAAGCTTAAAGAGTTAGAGGGGTTGGTCACTGGAATGCAAGACCAACTCGTATATACGTCATGGGAAATGGCGGGGGCTGTACCTCTCTAGGTCTCTGAGATGCGGTCCCTGATGGCACTTGGCCAGTCGTAAGCTCGTAATACTCTTGAGCATGGTATTTAGTTAGACTGGAACGGTGGTGGTAGTGGTAAGAACTAATCATTATTCATGAGAACGAAAGCTTGTCCTCGGACCTCCCTTGCTACCTGCTAGTAAGTAGTCTAGTCGTACGGGCTGGATTACCGACAGAGTACAGACCGAGCCGCATTGGCGCGACACCGAAAGAATCCTAGCCATAGAAGAACGTCTTAGTCAAATACAGAGTATCAATGATTCATAATTCATGTCGACTGAGGCTATTCGACTGCGATTGTGGTTCCGGCCATCTCAGATAGGACAAGGCTCCAATTTATTGCCTCAGGCATGAAAATGAGTCAGCAACTTCCCCAGAACCGCCGAGTTTCGCGCTTAAGGGTCCCCCCTCCCTTTTTCTGCCGATTTCCGGCACCTAAGCACATTCCTTGTGTCAATACCACGCTTTTTTTTGCATGTGTCAACGGCACTCCGCGGTACAATACCGTTGGGCGAATTTTTTCTTACTTTATACTGATGGATCTGGAGTTCCGCGGTGTCATAGCACCAAATGGGCTGCCTTCACAAGCAAGTTTGATAACGCCCTCGGGCACCACCAGCGACTTTCGGAACACGCCGAGGCTTCCCCGGCCGATGACAGGCTTCGATTTCCCAAATAGGAGTACGGAACTTTGCGAGATGGAGAAGGTGCCCCCGCAAATCACTGGAAAACGGCGGGGTGGTAGTAGAAAGGCCTGTAACGAGTGTAAACAGCAAAAGGTGAGCTAATCAGTCCTTGGCTACTGGGCTCGCGGTGTTGAATGGCCCAAAATGAAATAGCCCACCTTCATATACATGATTAAAGACATTTTTTCTCTGTCCTCGACTGCTGGCTGAACATGGTATGTTGGGTTTCAATAGCTTCGATGTGATATTGTTCAGACGCCGGCAGCCGCATGTTCGCGCTGTCGGCGCCTTCAGATAGAATGCAAGATTGAGCCTACATTCAAGCGAATCTCCAAGCGGAGGTAAGTCTTCTACGACACGCATCTATACTCGAGTACCCTTTTCCTGTCTGACTCTTTGACAGACGCAACGCTGAAATGGAAAAGGAGCTCGCAGAACTCCGTCGACGGCTCGCTATCAATGGCGAACGGCCTCAGACGGTGGAGGCCAATGCCAGCGATGAAATGTCGCAGTGTTCAGGGGATGAGTACTGTGGACCAGACTCCGCGCTTTCCAGTCGGAGTCGCCCTCTCTCTGCCCCCTTGGAACCGCAACCTCTGCCAGCTCCTTTGGCTTTACCCAGAGACAGTTCCATCATCTCCCAGGATGACAGTCCTTGGAGGCTGGAGGATGTCACACTCTCCAGACAACGAGTAGCACGATTGTTTGACCAGTACTTGCCCACTTTCCCTTCTCTGCTCAAGAGGAACTGGCGTCTGTTAACGACCCGCTAGATACTTCACGTATTACCACCCCTTTCTGCCCCTTCTAAACCCTCAAAAGCCTCCTGAGGAGTATCTGCGCCGCAGCCGCTTGCAAGCCTGGACGATCATTTGCATCGCTAGTCGTCGAGCGCCATCGGAACCGGGTCTTCTAAGTTCACTCACTGGGCCTTTCAGCAGGCTTCTTTGGTCGACCCTTACTGGAGTGCCTCAAGACTACCGTGTGGTCAAGGCTTTATGCCTACTTTGCACATGGCCGCTGCCCACAACGAGTCAAAGGACCGATGCTACCTTTATGCTTAGCGGACTGATGATGCAGATTGCGATGCAGCTGGGTCTGCATCGGCCTGTCCAGGCAGAGGAGTTTACGACGTTCCGAATGGAAGCTCAAGGAGAAGCAGTGAAGGATCGTTTACAGACATGGGCTATCTGTAATATTGTGGCTCAGAAGTAAGTAATGGTGATCACTGCCAGCAATGTCATGCGTCTTGGATGTTGATAAATGCCCTTTGCAGCGTCGCAACCGGCTACGGACAGCCTCCGGGCACCATATATGATTGGGCGCTTGAACCACCATCTCTCCGAGACGCTGATTACAATCCTTCGGATGACTTGCGAATCCGATTGCGGATTGAAAAGTTCTGTGACCGCGTGACAAAGGCATTATATAGCGGAAAGCCTGAGCCAGCCGAATTCATCAGTTCGGAGAAATTGTTAATCGTGCAGCTTCTGGAGAGTGAACTCCGGGAGATGGAAGTCGACTTTGGTCGAGACATATCACGTATGGACATCTGAACTGCTGTTGTTGTTGAGCCGCCGCTAAATTGTCATCTTCAGACATCAATATGATCCATCTGCGAGCCGCGGAGTTGCACCTGAGATACTTTGTGTTCCTTGGTTCTAATCCACGAGGTGAAGATTTGACAAAGCTTTTCATCGCCACGACGTCATTCCTCGGACGAGTTTTGGACTTGGAGACATCTCCTGGAGAACTGATTGGCCACGCCACCAATTATATCCTTCAGATGATAGTCTCTGCTGCCTTTGCCCTCATGAAGCTGTTGAAGAGTGATTTCAGCCGTCATATCGACTTCGATCACGGCAAATTACTGTTCAATGGAGCCATCTCGGCCATCCGACGGATAAGTGTTATGGATCATGATCGCCCTGTTCGCCTGGCCGATATTTTGGCCCAGATGTGGAATGCAAACGAGGCAGCACACTCTCCGGGCGATAATATCTTGGAGCTGAAAGTTCGCTGCAGAATGAGCATGAGTCATGTCTATGACACGGTCTGGCGCTGGCGGCAGAGATTCAGGCCTATGCGAAGCATCGAGGACTCACAAGGTTTGTTTATTCTTAAGTCTAGTCCGTATTCTCGCCGTTGGAATGATCGTGTAAAGCTGACTTTGTGCAGTCACAGTGGCCAACCCAAACATATCGGCGGCCGCAGGCACTATCACCCGGCAGCAGGATGATACGCTAGATGAAACTGGTTTGATCTATCCGCCCAATTTCGACCAAGGGGCCTTCATCAGTGAAGCAGGGTTCTCCGAAGTTTTTGATTCCCTCAACTGGGTCTTTGATGGGATTCCCGATTCTTTCGTTGCACCGCCGGTCATGTAGCCATGATGACGGGTCGGTATGTGAAACTACACATGAACAAAAACAAAACCAGTGATTTTGGCTGTCCAGGCGAGCAAGTGCCAACTGGCAGGAGCTCACAGATATCTATTACGACTTCATTTTTGTATATAGAATACTTGCATGATACCATTTGATTTAGGAAGTGCAAAAAAGGTGATACGATTCTCGATTGAGAGTTCATGGAAGGAAGATCTCTCGGATCACACTTGCCGAGGCTGTAAATCAGGACAGTGATTGCTCGGCCCCACCTATCATACATAACATGGAAACTGCCCAGTTCTTTTGTCAAGGCTTTGGCGCGCATTGCATTTACTGGAACTGACGGTTACGAAGGAGTCTTCAATGAAGTGCATGCCTTGAAGACTATCGTGGATGTAAGCGAATATGAGGTGCCGCTGTCTGGACGGCTGGGAGATCGGATTACTGGATGGGGTCCCCTCTGGCAACACACAGACCATATATAAGCGCGCCCGTTGATGAGGAAGCCAATAAGCGTACCTGTGTGCTGCCATATGGCTACTTGTATGGTGATACGAAGTACAACTCAAAGCACATTCGTCTCAGATGATCGGTAGGGCTTAACTTTAAGCAGATGGAACAATGGACATTGTCCTCCTTTCAAGCAAGAGTCAATGATTAGAAGTCCTATTCAGCGCTGATCATGGCTAGGGATGTCCACGGGATGCAGCCAAGACGCGATTATGTCACCCCATGCTCATGGCAACCTTGAAGTAGCAAGGCTAGATGGACTGGATAATTGGGAGGTTAAGTACTGTTTCTCGTTTTCTACTGGTTAAGAGGGCTTTGGTGGCGGTCAAATAATGGGGGACACGGCGTCCAATGGTGATGATTGCTGGAGGTATTTTCTCATGCGATATGATCTAGTCTACAGTGGCATGGCGCACAGGAGATATAAATGGCAGATACTCCATAGTCCAAGCACTGAGGTACTATCCAGCTAAACCTCAATATACTAGCTAGGTCGTTCGCTACCAAAGTATCAACTTACTCTCGCTTAATCCCAGAGCAGATGGACGGAGAGTGAGTCTGGAATAGAAAATGGGTTTTCGGGAGCAATAATGGCACCCTATTAGGACGCAGTACTTCCATACCTTGCCTTCAATATTCCATGGTTCGTATGGGTCAAACCCCCTTGATCCTAAACAAAAACAGAGGTATCTACTGCTGCCTGAAAGATATCTAAACTATTAATAATTCTGCATTTGGATTTTCACAGTCTCAGACCGGAGAACTATGGGACTGTCGTTATAAAAGCAATTGAGGAACATCGTAGACTAAGAGAGTAGTACGAGTGTACGACTCTTACTTCTGCTTGAACTGTCGCAAACGCCTCAGGCAGTGACAGAACCAGTCAAAACTACCTTACAAAGAGAAGGCTGGGGACTTGCAATACAGACACTGGCATAGATAGCTCGCAGGTACTTTACTTGTAAGATCTTGGTTAGCCTGGACTTGATCATCAAAGCCATCATCAATCTGCCTTCATTCTCCATAAGATCTGACTCTGTTATCGTGCCTCATTCCCGCTTATAAACTCCTGATTATAGGTGCATACTACAGTGTATAAAGATCGCTTGAGATTTAGAGCTTCCATCAAACACTGAGCGTCGGGAGTATCCTCGGGAGCAACTCTTTTATCGCTGATTTCTGCATCTCCCTGCAAATAATATTGGTAGACCAAAAGTACCTTGATCTGTATACAAAGTGACAGACTGCTTGACCTCCAAAAGGTGAGCTATCCAGTCTGCTTCTCCCTCTACACGGACCGCAATCGAGCTACCCTCGCTCGTCCCGATTAGCCCCCCCTCTCTTGACTTCCCCCCCCCAACCACAAAGACCTCCGCCCCTCGATCTCGTCCTGTTTCGCTGCTCAATGACCCTTTCTTGTCCTCTTTTTGTCCTTTGCCGTCTTCAGCTTGTTTGCTCTCTCTTCTGAAAACTTTTTATGTCCTCTTTGTCGTATACAATTGCATTGTCCTGACTCATTTGACTTGCTCCTTTTGCAGATATACCCTTAAAGATTATTATCGCCCCATCCGCCTTCACTTGACGCTAAAACCCCCAATAATTCACTTCGCGACGCTAATTGATCGCTATCATTTGGGTTCATCTTTACAAGCTGTTCATCATCATATCCTCACTGTGATTTTCTTCTCTGTGCATATACCCTTAATTCCAACAACAAAACCATGGCGTCCGGACCCGCTACTCAGTCATTAAAGGTTAGAACTCGCGAGATATCCCATGGATTGTTAGTCGGTTGACCAGACCGCGGCTAACAGGTGAACCTTACAGTGTGTGGTGACAGGTGATGGTGCAGTTGGAAAAGTAAGTGCTTTTCCTCTTCTTCTCCCTTCCCCCTGGAGATCATGAGATATTGCCTGGTGTTATCTTTACCTGGTCAATGACAGCAGCTAACCTAGAATATGATAGACATGCCTCCTCATCTCGTACACCACCAACGCATTCCCCGGAGAATACATCCCTACCGTGTCCGTGGCTTCCTCCCTTGCGCTGATCTCATTCGGAGCCTGTTGTTGACCCGACTTCCAGATTTGACAACTATACGGCCAGTGTGATGGTAGATGGCAGACCCATCAGCTTGGGACTGTGGGATACTGCTGGACAAGAAGATTATGACCGACTGAGACCGTTGTCCTACCCTCAAACTGACGTCTTCCTCATCTGCTTCTCCATTGTCAGCCCTCCCTCGTTTGACAACGTCAAGGCAAAGGTGCTTAACTCCCCTGTCAGCTGCTGTGCGCTCACAGCTTCTCAATCGCTTCGACTAACGTTTCGAGTAGTGGTACCCGGAGATCGAGCACCATGCTCCCAATGTTCCTATCATCCTTGTTGGTACCAAGCTCGATCTGAGAGACGATCCCGCGACAGCAGAATCCCTCCGGCAGAGAAAGATGGAGCCTGTCTCGTACGAGCAAGCCCTGGCTGTCGCCAAGGAGATCCGAGCGCACAAGTATCTCGAATGTTCTGCCCTCACGCAACGCAACCTCAAAAGCGTCTTTGATGAAGCCATTCGGTATGTTTGGCATTGGCCCCGTAGTGATGTTGTTCCCGATGCTAATCACATCGCCAGTGCTGTCCTCAATCCTCGACCTGCCGCAAAACCGAAGAGCAAGAAATGCACCATACTGTAGACCATCACTTTCAGCTTTTCATCATTTAATCATAAACAACTAATTCGGCGTCTGGGATAGTTGAAGGTTTTGCAATGATCCCCTTGATGATTGTTCCAACTATGTTCATATTTCTTTTCTCGCTTTCTCAGTCACATGTCATGATCCTGATGAGCTTCTTTCTGGGTCAGGACACCCCTTTCCTCATCTTGTCGTCTTTTCGTGCACATGCAGCATAAACTTGTAACATGCTACGCCATAACGGGAAGCTGTCGCTTAATCGATCTTAACCTCCATGGTCCTAACTGCTACATAGATATGGCGCGTGTTGGAAAACAGCTGTATGCAACCTGTCAAGATATCCCTTAGGGATTGTGCAGTCATTGAAGATTCTATATACTTCCACCCAACTCAATCCATCCAATATTCACACTCATATAACGAGGACAAGAAGGATATCTCTGATGGAACATATCAAAGAGACGCGAAATGGAAACTGAAAAAGGCCTTTTATCGTCGAGCAACACCATCGCTGAAATTCCGTCCAAGTCGAGCGCCTTACGCCATACGGGCTCTTCGGCTGGGGTGGATACCAGCCCACTGATCGGCGCCCTGGTCCTCGTTCTCTTTAGAATGAGTGTTCTTCGTCTTTGTCTTCTCCTTTTGGATATCCTTAGCTTGACGTTGTCTCTCCTCGTTGAGCTTCTTGTTCTTGGCTTCGATTTTGGCTCTACGATGCTCAGATTTACCGCCGCCGCCGCCGGCCCTGCAATATTGTTAGTTTCGAAATTCTCCCACTGCGTCTGGTCGCGGTGCACTCACGTCAATTCGACATTGATTCTCCGAGGGGGATATTTTCCATCATCGAACATGGAGTGGTGGTAGAGCTTCAGGCAGGTCTTCATGCGGTCATAGTTGTCAAATTCGATAAAACCGAATCCACGGCATTTGGTCGGTTTGTCTTTCTCAGTAGCTACGCGAACTGAGGCTGGAGGGTTCTTCTCAAAGTGCTTTCTTAGAGAGTCGGCAGTTGCGGAGTAAGGGAGATTTCCTGCGACAGAGTGCGAACGATATTAGCAATGCTGCGGCTGTGCCATACGTCCTTGATAACAACAAATTTTGACTTACCGACGAAGCAGATGAAACGTGCGTTTTTCTGGTGGTGTTGTGAGTGTTCTTCGGCAGGTGCTGTCTCTGTAGATTGTTCTGGCTGCTCTCGCGGCTCATCTGCGGGCTCTTTCTCCTTCTTCTCTTTCTTGGATTTCTTATCCTTCTTGCTCTTCTTGTCCCTCTTTTTCTCCTTCTTTTCGGGCTCGTCGCCCTCAGCCTCTTGCTTCTCGGCGGGTTTCACATCGCCATCGACGTCCATTGAATCGGGCCCTGCGGCCTGGGGACTTGACTTCTCCTCTTCTTCATCTTTATTTTTCTTCTCCTTCTTCTCCTTCTTTTCCTTCTTTTCTTTCTTATCCTTCTTTTCCTTCTTGTCCTTCTTGTCCTTCTTCTCCGGCTTGCTGTCAACAGGCGCCGGGACTTCCTCGGTGGTCTTCACGTCCTGAACAACCTCTTTCGCGTTGGATTTTTTCTCCTTCTTCTCTTTCCGCTCTCCCTTGGCCTTTTCCTGTTTCAGCTTCTTGCCCTCAGGCGCAATGGCTTCCTCGGCGAGCTTGCGTTTCTTGTCGCCCATTTTGGTGTGATATGCTCGTAGTAGGTGCGAAAAGGTTCTTTCTTCGTAAAGACTTAACAGTAAAGGCAATCAATCAAGCAGATGATACTCCGTATCGAAAATCAGAATGAGAACCAGAGCTCGACGGCCAAAACAAAATGGAAATTTTGAGTCTGGAAAATTACTGCCTCCAGAAGCTTAGCGGAAAAGGGAAATTTACTTTTTCGCCAGGCGGTTGTTTATGGCGGTGAGAGACTTGGATCCACAGGAGTTCATGCCTTAAATTTCAGGCAATGAGTTGTTCCAAGTATGTGTGCTCTGCAGTGTGTCCACTTGTAGTACGCATCAAGTTTACACATGTGAATATACGTTATGGCACGAAATAATATAAACATGCATACCTTCTGAATATACAGATGCCCCAATAAGCAACGCCAATGCCACAGACAGTAAATACTCCAATTAAAATACCAGAATGTGAATTCGCTTCTGTTTCGCTCCATATCGTTCACGGAATTCGGAGCGAGTGAGCAATTGAAGGAGTGGGAGATGCGTTTCCTTCATGTCAAAAATGCCACGCTGTTTTTGGTCAATGTAAGATCCGTCAATCACGATGCGCTCTAGTTCGTCCAATTTGAGGCTCCCTGTTTCCATTAGTATTGCAATGTTCGAACATGACATACAGATGGCAGTCCAGGGAGGAAAAGGACATACCAGCGTCGATTAAGTCTGAAATTCGGGCAGGGGTTCCAACTCCAAGGCCTGTTCTGTATAATTGTTAGACAAAGGGTCAATTGAGGCCAAGATCATAGTGAGCATACCGTGCGCGCTGCAAGAACTGTTTTGCTTCCTCGAGCTTGATGTGCTTTGCGAACAACTTGCCGACTGTCGAATCCTTGCTCTGGAATGCACGGAGAGCCCTAGAACATCTAATCAGCCCCCGTCCCAGGACAGCGATATATGTCTGGTCTACCCACCTCACCACATCAGCTGCTCTAAGCGCAGCGGGACATACAACCAGCGTATGCGGTGTGCCCTTTTGCTGCGATGCCTTTGAGAGTCCGGACCCCTTGTCGGGGCTGAAAGCTTTGAGGAACGCAGGAAGCTGGTCTAGCGATCTGGGTGATTCGAAAGAGGATGTGTCGAGGAATGCCGAGTCTAGACCGTCGTGTCAGTTTGATTGCACTCGAGCCCGAGCCAGACGGATATAACCATACATGGGACGCTCAGATCACCCAATTCAACCGCAGTCAACTCCTTGTTATGTCTCTTCGCCTTCTGGACAAAGTGATCAGCCAGCAACCGGCCGTCCATCTTGCCAATAGACTCGTCGATGCCGCCTTTGCGCTCCTGCTGCTTGGGATCATCCTCCAGCTCCTTTTTCTTTTGTTGCTTCTGCTTATTTTTGGAATTCTTCTTCTTCTTCTTTCGAGGGCCCTCAGCTGCCTCCGAGGTATTATTATTGGCAGATTTGGCTGGTGCAGCTTTATCTTCCTTGGGTGCTTCCTCCGCCTGTCTCTTGCGCTTCTTGTTCACCTTGGCCGAGAGGCCGGACGAGTTCGGGGGAACGTCGGACATTGCAAGACAAAGAATTCTATAGTATATTTGCAACTCTCGTAAAATTTTCAATAGCACGGCAGAGCGATTATCCCGGACTCTTGCTTGTCGCATTCAAGTGCTTTCTGCTGATCACAACTTTTTTATGTTGAGTCAGCAATTTTTTATCGATAAGCTTAAGCCAATCAGAAACGGGCCCAGAGTACCTGCCGTGGGTGATCCAAGACGCGCTCCGCCCAATCATCATATGAAACCCCTCGTCTATCATGTACTTGATATCGACTGCTCTATACCTTTTCGGATGATTATCAACTTTCGTTGATTGAGATTGATATTGTGCGACTCTTCTAATTGTTTATGATTGGTCGATTGGACCTCTTGTTCCCCGAGACTTACAGATGTCAGCGACTCCCAGACCGCACGGCCGCCGGCCGTCGCGCGATGCGGCAGCTTCTGAATCAAACGTGAATACTCCAGCGGGAGACACAACAGCCACTAGGGTTAGTCAACTCTTAGAATACTTGACGGTATAGCCTAACGAATTGATTGATAGCTTCAACGACTCCCAATTCACACGAGGTATCCTCTCACTCCGAGCCGTCTAGCAGGGTCGACAACCCCGTCGGCCAACCCACCGGTCTCTCGATGGACACCTGGAAGAAGGCTTACGAATGCGCCGTCGACGCCCTATGGACTTCGCGCGATGCAGCGGCGCGCGGCCAATACGCCGGGACGGGATCGCAGGAAGAGCGGGCGGATTCAGAGAGAGACAACATTTGACATTCTACGGAATCTTGGAAAGGGTACGCGCGCTCAGAATAAAGACTGAAGGATTACATAAATTTCAAGCTCATGTCTGACTTTTATCTAGCTCTTGCCCCTATTTCCCAGCCGATACGCTCATCACCGCAGGAGAAACTGGAGCCGACACCGGAACCAGAAAAGGAGAAGGATGAGATCGAGGAACTCGACAATGAACCGGAATTGGAACGGCCGAGGCTTTCCCTACCTCTGGAGGAGGTGGAGGAGGTAGATGAAGGAAGTCCCGAAATGCGTCCCCCTAGGCTGTCGTTGGCCTTCGATGAGGAAGACATCACACATACATCCGTCGAGTACCCACGAAGAGCGACTAGCGAATATGACAGAGCAAGACTATCTATGATGAGCTACGGTAATCCACGACTAAGCGAGAACTTCGGCGACTCAACCAGGTTGGGGAGCGGCTCTGAAGGCGGCGAGGACGATGATACGGGCATGGAAGGAGATGGACCGGACGATACAATGATCAGCCAGGGGGCTTTTGACAGAGGGTGAGTGTTGAGGGCGCTTTTATTGTTCATCTCGACCTGGCTAATTCTAGTGCAGAGGCGAAACGGAGGATCTTGGGCGATTTAATTTCGAATTCAACTTCCCATCCCCACCTCCTCCTGGTGAGGGTGATCTGATGCAGGACGAACCTTTGAATGACGACGAAGGTTTTGAGCTCCCTCCGGTTGATATCGGGCCGGAGATAGGTGCAGAATCAGACATGAGCGATGGCGATGTGGGCGGTGTCGCTGGCGACTTTGGTCTTGAGCTCAATATGCCATCACGAGTTTCCCTGAGCGAAAGTCCAGGGCTCGTCGGAGGGGGATTGCGAGACGAAGACAGCGTGCTCCCAGGTGCCAAGCAGAAGAAACTCTCGCGCCATGGAATTCCTGTGCCCAATATGCCTGTGGGAGTAGTTCGAAAGCTAGCTACTCGGTTTGCCCGTGCAAGGGCCGGATCTAAGGCCAAGATAAGCAAGGCAACCTTGGCTGCTATTGAGCAAGCATCCGCATGGTATTTTGAGCAAGTCAGCGAAGACTTGGCAGCATATTCTAAGCATGCAGGGCGAAAAACTATTGATGAAACTGATGTTACGACTTTGTTGAGAAGGTGAGTGAGATTGCCTTGATTATGGCACCAGGAGGATGCTGATCTGCTAGACAACGGCACATCAACAATGCCACTACCGTTTTCTCTCTTGCGCAGAAGCATTTGCCAAAAGAGCTCCTGCAGGACATGAGATTGGCGATGCCACCGTGAACAGGGATATACTACAGGACCTCAAACAAGGACAGAGCCGAACGCCGCCAGACAATGCACATTAGGATGACACGTCGAGAATTTACGACCAGTTCCGATTCTGGACGACACGACGAGTGGCCTCATTTGGCCGTTTGCGAACGACCATCCACAACATTATTGACGTTGCCAGCGACAGGCCGTACCTGTTGATTATTAGCAACTAGAGCCGGGAGCCGAAGGAGGCTAAGCTCGATGCGAAAGGCATCCGCGCGTGGAAACTTACCATGTGAAGATGTACTGGCTGTGGTTGTTTCTCAGGTTGACCTCAGCTGTGCGGCCGATGGGAATACCGTTGGCTTCTCTGTCCATCGATTCAACCATGTCCGGCACTGGGAGATTCAAGAGTCAGTCACGTCGGGAACTCCTGCTCGGACTGCTAGAAATTTGCTTACCCATAGTTTGTTCAATCCAAACCGGCTGACTTCCCGTCAGTTCAGCCATTTGATGGACATCGGGAAAGTAGAATTTGCCTTCCTCCGGCTTGTTGTCTGGAGTAAACATGTTCTTCTTCCACGGCTCTCGCAGTAAGCCCTCGACGACTACCTCGCCCTGTGGTAACCCGATGGCTCTGTCTTTCTTGTTCATCATCTTCTTCGAAATCCAGCCTCTGTTCACAAGAATTGTGCTTTCCCCTTCGCCTCTTTCTAGTGGAGTGACCACAATGAAGCCTTCCTGGCCTTCGCGCATGCGGGGCCCGATCAACATCTCCTGATCATGTCTGAAATGACCCGTAGCGTAGACTCGTCGATAATCAAACTCAGAGATCGCAGTTGGATCAATACGCGGCGGCAACGGGAGGGGAGGCTTGACGAGACGATCCTCGAATTTCGCAATCAACTTTGTCTTCCAATCAAGCCGCTGAACCTGCCAGGTGCCTAGGATAAATGCCGTGACGGGGATCAACGCTGTATCAGCCAATTGTAATTAGTCAATGAACTTTTATTCACGAGGATGCTCCCAGAAACATCTCGCACCGTATGAGGTGCACTGTACCTAGGATGATCAGGCCAGGCCCATGCTTGCGTCCCGTGCGTACAATCTGCGCAGGGTGGTCAACCACAGACAGCCATCTGGGATCATCCGCAAGCTGCCTATTGCTGGAGAAACGAATCTGTTGGCGGCGGCATCTGGCGCAAATCGAATCGAGCTCGAACACTCCGCGAGAACTCCGGACAGATGCAATTTGTGACCGCCACGATGTAGCTGCCGTCTGCTGGAGAACGGAGAATATCGACCGCATGATCGATAGAAATGCGGCCTCTGCACTCAGACCTTGGTGCTTTGCTTGAAGAATTGATGATGAGGAGAAAATGCGGGACGGACCTTTAGGACCCTGGAGAGGAACCCGTGATCGTCGGAGATCAACGACTTTCCCCGACAAGCTGTGCTGGCCATATGGCGTGGTTTAGCTCGCTTGCGGACACATAAACAACCATACTCGGTTCACAAAAAAAGAGAATATTAGAACCGTCATGTTCTACTCTGGAGGTCTTCAGGAAGGAATCTCCCTTGCTGTCACGCAGGGGAAAGCTGTGGTCTGCTTCGTTCGAGGTCTGTCTGTCATTCCCCGCACGGCGCCGCTATGATCGCATCTGCATTACATATGATGCTACTATTGCTCGGAGTCGCATGCTGATCGACGAGGATGAATGTAGATGACGAAGAGGATAGTAATGTATGGGAGGAGGAATACTTCAAGGATGACGAGGTAAATCCCTCGATGATGGCGATCGCTGTTGTATTGCTTCTTACCCAAATGCCATCTACCTAGCAATTTGCACGATTACTCGAGACGGGGTCTGTCTTGCTACGACTCATTAAAGGCAGTGATGAAGCCGGATTCTTGACGTCGTTTTGTCCAATTGTCCGGTTTCCCGCAGTGGTTGTGATCAAGTACGAGTGACCTCTACCAGTGTGTTGGTTGCGAACGATTTCACTGATCTGAATGGGTTGCAGGAATGGCTTGTTGCGAGAGTACCTTGTGCCTGAAATATCCAAGGACGACTTTCGCAGTCGGCTAAGGGCTGCTCTTGACGACGCTCGAGCTACGACGCAGAATGTTCCTCCAAATACCTCCAGTCCCTCTCCAGCGTCGTCCTCTTCGCCTGCGCCTGCTCCTGTTCCTGCTCCTGCACCAACAGTGACAGCTGAGCCTGCGCCTACACCTACATCTGCGCTCTCAGACCCAGAGCAGGGCCAGCCAGAAGCTTCCGGGACTCGACAACCGAAGCATTATCAGCAAGAGCATGATCCTAGTCCTGAAAGAACCCAAGAGGTGCCTCCGAAGGCAGCTGGTTCTGATCGTCCTCCTCGGTCTACGCAGAAAAACCAACAGTCGAAGAGAGAGCAACAAGTTCGGCAATACGTCGCCAATATCCAGAAGCAAAGCATCGTCGAGCCTAAAAAGGACACATTATCGGCTCCCGCCGCCGACGCTGGATCGGGTGTCGGTCCTTCAAGAGAAGCGTCGACACCGCGCCAACCATTACCTCCCAAGCAATATCGTCTACAAGTCCGACTATTTGATGGAAGCTCAGTGCGCAACAGCTTTGCACCCACACATACTATCCGCGGGGATGTACGCCCGTGGCTTGACGGTCTACTACAGAATGAGAAACGCCCATATAACCTTAAGCATATCTTGACACCCTTGCCCAACCGAACGCTCACGATCGCCGACGAAGAACGTACACTCGAAGATCTTGGACTAGGATCCACGGCGAACCTTGTGATGATCCCCATCAACTCGTATACAGAGGCATATAACTCGTCAGGACCTAGCTTACCCGTGCGAGCTGCATATTCTGCGTACGGCTTGCTCTCCTCTGCAGTTGGCACCGCGACGGGCCTAGTGGGATCTTTCATCGGCTATAACCCGACTTCTTCAGACTCTTCCGGGTCTGCTCTAACCGCCAGTTCGTCTTCCGGAAATGGAGCTCGGAGTCCACAGCCTGCTGCATCCAGAGGTCCTAGGATTCGGACATTGCGAGATCAACGCGAAGAGCAGACTGACAGTCAACTGTACAATGGGAACCAGGTAAGTCGCCACCCGTTGGAATACAAAACTATGATTCACAGGTCGGCTTACTTGTCTCTAGCTGAATTTCGAGCCTCGGAGAGATACAGATGGGCAATAAGTTGAAATGATACGGGTCCTATTTATGGCGTTAGGGTTATTCACTAATATGTCGATATTGTCTATCTTGCATCCAACAAGGGCACTACGTAGATGCCTATTTTCACTTGCTTCTAAGCGGTTGAAAATCTGTTGGGCCGCTAGATGGATGTCTACTCTCGTCCAGGACTCATTTCCCATTATACCCAGAGTTCTATGTCAATATAATCAAACCTGCGCTTCCGGGGCCCGTTGTACATTGCACTATCATGCTACTCAGCTATGGTGAAAAAGAGTGGTATCTGTTCGAAGAGTGGAATTTTCATCTCATTGGTTTCCTGTTTTTCAACTTTTTTTCTAGCTCTCTTCTGCGTCTTCGGCCCAATGAGTCGAATGGATGCAGACAAGAAGCTTGTAAGAACAGATGTGGCTCCCTTGGGAGAATGGTATACAGTAGTGTAAAGTTATTACGCCGCCATGCAAAGAGAATTCGTCGACACCCATTCCAAAGCTAGCCAGGCTTGTGCCAGGGCCATAGTTTCACCCAAAGTTGATGTCATTTCATCCAAAGAAAATGTAACAGCATGCGAGAGCAAGCGCCGTCGCTTAGTACTGCTTAGCAGCAGCCTGGCAGGCTTTCTGTATCAAGTTGTTAGCAGCGTTCAATATACCGGGACAATAAGAGCATCAAACATACCAGCTGGTCAAGGTACCATCCGCAAATAGTCATGTTGCCCTGGTTCTCATCCAGGCACTTGCGGAAGTTGCGAACGTCGGTCTCGCAAGCAGGAGTCTCCCAAGAGCTGTTGGTGGCACTGCTCTGCCACAGTCCGTTGTCCATAGGCTGAGCCTGAGCGGGAGGAGGAGCCTGTTGGGCCTCAGCAGGGGCACTGCTGGAGGAACCACCGCTGAACAGGCCGCCGATGGCGTGTCCGATAGACGAACCAACTGCTACACCACTAGAAAAAGAAATCAGTTAGCCAACGTCTTTCCGTGCAAGAAAATGATGCCTCGGCGCAGAAACTGGCGATGCAAGTCCTTGGTACGTCTCGTCGGGACGCTGCCACCAGAATGAATCACAGCCGAGGATCTCACGGATGTGCGGGCAACTTACGCTGCGGTCGAAGCCATCTGGCCGAAGAGTCCGGGGCCAGAGCTCTGCTGAACAGGGGCCATAGGAGGAGGGGCTTGCTGAGCCTGGGCAGGAGGGTGAGCAGCAGTCGAGTGAGGCTGGTGGTGCTGAGCAGCGGGGGCAGCAGCCGGTCTCGCGGGAGCGACGGTAGGTCTGGTGGGAGCGCTGCGCGCAGGGGTAGGCGCAGGGGCGGCACCACGGCGTTGACGAGGCATTTTGGTTATGTATTTGTGTTGGAAAAGAGGAAAGGTAAGGTGTACTTTGATGGAAATCGATTCTGCAGTCGGAAGGTTGATAAGTTGTTGGTTTTTATATGTTGTTGATGGAGGCGCCAGAAAGAAGAACCTCGAATATGCGTCGGCGGAGACAGAGAACAAACTCCGATCCAGCTGCCAGATCTCCAATCGCTGATTGGATGCGCCCCTTACTTATGTAAACTTACTATGGCAAAATGGAGCATCACGTGCCATAGTATGTAAAATAATTTACGTATTGTAAGGCTAAACAGGCAGGGAGTAATACGAGAGGTACAAATGCATAGATGGTATTCGGATAGTACCTAATTCTGATTCATGGAATAGGCCACGTAATTGTGCCTGGTGAGCCTCTTCACTCAGAGAGCTAGAGAGCTTACGCTCTCCGCATATAGCAGTGCTAGTCCTTAGCAGGCATGTTGAAACTCCGTGGAAACGCAGGGTCACGGCATGGACATACACGGCACCTCTTACGGCCAATCCTGCCAACGACGAGATGATGAGACTGATTAGCAGGGCAGTCCGAGGGACTGAGGGACTGACAGCCTAGGTAGGCTCTGCTAACGATGCAATATGGGCACTGAAGTCGGGCCGGCCGACCGAGATGGAAGGAGTCATGGCGGGATTTGTAGTCGTCATCCTACCTCTTCTCACTTCGCCTTTGCTGCCTTTCGAGCTTCCATTTTCTTCTGCCGTCTTTCTTTCTTTCGTTCTTGCTGCTCCTCCTTGCTTCGCTTCTTCCTTTTTCTGGTGGCCTTGGAAGTCTCAAGCTTGTTTTTGTCTTTCTTCTTCTTTACCTCCTGAGAGTTTTCGGGTTGTGTTGTTTCCAATGGCTTTGTCAGCTGCTCCGACCCTGCAATCATAAACTCCTCGCTGTCCGACTCCTCCTTATCAGGTTCTGACTCCGAGTCCGAGCTACTCGTACGATTCCTGGAAGATGTCTCAGATGCCGCGGCTTTCTTAGCTAGTAGTGCTGCTTTTAGTTGAGCGCGCGCTTTCTCTTTCGCCTCCTGTTCTTTGCGTTTCATATCTAGTTTATCATTCCCGGCCTACACGAAGTTAGTACGTGTGCAAGGTCAAGGTCTGACAAAAAGGAAGGAAAACAAGATGTGACATACAAGGCCGTGTTTGATAAAGCGACCAGCTGCCTCTTTGTCAAGAGTCATAGTCCGCTGCTCGGGCTCAGTCTCTAGCGCCTGGATTTTTCCGTAGTATTGCTTGACGCGAGTAAGCTCTCGGAAGACAGGATGTTCCTTTGCATTGACGCCATGAAGACGCAGATAAGCTATCACTCCATTAGCATGTTTGAAAAGGTAGAAATGAGCCGGAGAGCTGTACAAAATATGAGAGATTCCAAAGCGTAGGTAACCAAGACGTGAAATTTCGCCTTGTCTAGAACCGGGAGCTTGTTCGATGTCTCCGAGACCGGACTCTCCAAAATTGGTTTGAGGGCCTCTTCCAAATCGTCAACATTATCATCCAATTGCTCAAGAAGCGGTAATAGGTCGGCAGCCTCCATCATGTGAGATACAGTTGCAAATGCAAGATTAGCATTTTTCTGATAATCTCGATGGATAAGGGCGATTTTTATCTAAAGGCGGTGAACCTGGCGGTGACAATCCTATTGCCTCATTTCTCTACTTTTTGACCGTCATCGTTATCTCCATGCTTCTACTATCGCATTATTATTATTTTTAGCTCAGAAGTGAAGCTGAGGTGCGTCACCAGTCATAATCAATGGGAGAAGAATGAACAGCAGGTGAACGATCTCAATTCACCCTTCTTCCATCTGAGAGATAGCAACCGAACTCGCTTGCAGGGCGCTCCCATTCGTCAAAGTGTCGCTGTACGTTTTCGGGCGCCGTCCGCTCTTGCGGACTGGCTTTTGCGAAGTGGAGATTTTTACACGGCTCTGCTCTCGAGGAGCGCCAGTTCGTCGGTCTTTATCGACATGGATGCATGAAGCTGATGAAGCATCCCGTGCGAGCGGGAGGCGCAAGCTCTCGGGCCGAATACACATCTTGGGACTTGGGAATGTAGGGACTTTTGTTGCTCATTCGCTTGCAAGCCGGCCATCCCCACCTCCTATTACCCTCTTGCTACATAGTAGGAATCTTTATGGGGCTTGGTTAGCAAAGAAAAAGTGCTTAGCGGTCAACACAAACGGCCTCGACGATATCAAGACGGGCTTTGATGTCAACGTATTGAGTGACCAGACTTGGTATTCGCTCCCGTATTGGAATCAGAATGGCGAGCCCAATACAAATGGTGATAGCGTTACAGAAGAAAACTTGGAAGCCGGCGTGGAAGAGTCTCTTTCCCAGTCGGAGGAGGATGATGAACATATCGAATGCTTGATTGTTGCGGTCAAGGCACCCATGACTGCGAGAGCCCTGGAATCAGTCAGCCACCGCTTAACCCCTGACTCCACTGTACTCCTTCTGCAGAATGGCATGGGCACCATCGAGGAGATCAACGAGAAAGTTTTCCCTGACCCGCATCAACGTCCACATTACATGTGTGGCATCATTTCACATGGCTTGGCACGGAAAAGGGACGCCTTCCATGTTACTCATACAGGTATCGGAACTACTATAATCAGTCCCGTCTTGCCGCGTGATGCCTTGGCATCAAAGGATGAAAAGGATACGGATTGGGCACCGAGCACGAAATACCTGACACGCACTTTGACCCTCACGCCGCCGCTCGTGGCTGTCGCCGAAACTCCTTCGTCCCTTTTACTATATCAACTGGAAAAACTGGCATTGAATGCTATCATAAATCCCCTTACAGCCCTGATGGACTGTGAGAATGGCGAGATTCTCTACAACTATAGCTTCACCCGCGTGATGCGTATGCTCCTTATCGAGATCTCGAGTGTCATTTGCGCCTTGCCTGAACTGCAAGGTATTCCTGGCATTGAGAACCGCTTTGCACCAGAGCGGCTTCGATCGATGGTGACGAAGCTCGCGAACCAGACTGCCAAGAACACCAGCTCCATGCTGGCCGATGTGCGATCTGGAAAAACCACGGAAATCGAGTATATAAACGGCTATATAGTGCGCAGGGGGGAGGAGCTTGGCATCAAGTGCGCGGTTAATTACATGATCAAGCATCTGGTCCTCGCCAAACAACAAATGGTGAAGCAAAGAGTGTCCGGAGCTATCCCAATTGACGTTTTGGACGGCTCTAAATTATGAACAGCTTTTAGCACTAGGTTCCGAATCTAGTCCTTCGCGCTGCGGGTCAGCCGCCACTGCCAGCACCTCGCTTCCTCAGCAGGATACCGCTTCCAAAGCTTTGTCGCAGAGGCTTCTGATCTGCTTCCAACGCCTGAGCAGCGTGCTCACTTTCCCGGTGTACTTCTGGTCTGTTTCTCTGGGGCTAAGAGCTTCCAGAGCGGCGATTGTCGTGTCTGCTTCCTTTGCATATGCGCGAATCCATTCTTGGATGATTGCATTAGATTTCTGGGCGTCGGAGCTCTTTGTCGAATAACCAAGGGCATAGTTCCGCCAATCTCTTTTTGTCATGTATTTCAGACAAGCAGCAATCTCGGTTCGATAGCAGACACCTGTGGCGGTAACCTCATAATTGCTGGAAATTTACAACTATGAGCATTTGATATCCGCGCAATACGGCAGCAAGCTAGAGAATGAAATATAAGACATTCCAGGTTACTTGGGGTTCAACGTACCCGTAATATTGCTGCAAATACAGCTCTTCCTGAAGGGACGCACTGAGGTCTCGGAAAATGATACCATCAAGGTATATCGCGTCAGAACCATTCTCGTCGAGGTAGAACCCATCTGATTGAAGTTAGATGTAGCATTCACATGATGAGATGCGTTGATTTATCTCACATTCAACAAGTAGGAAATCATTTGGATGAGGCCCATAGCTCATATATATTTCCTCTCCGGAGTCTGTACACTGTTAGAAGAGTTCGCCGAGTTGAGTGGCATTAATACCATAGCGCCTGGTCGCCCTGAAGACATATTTTTGGCCGTCAAACTTTACGTCATCCTGCAAAGGTGGGCGAAAAGTTCCAATGATTAGAACAGGAGACGAAACACCGGGAAAGTATGGTTGTGTTTGAACTGGGCTAGGAACGACAAGACAAACCTCCACATCCGAGTGATTAAAATAATCGGCGAAAGGTAGCAACGCCATGGCGTCATTTCGATCTTCCGGGGGTTTTTGACCAGGCATCAAGTAGTAGAAACTTCTTGTGTTGACAATGAGCCAGTTGTATGAATAAGTCTCCCAGTCTACATCAGGAAAAACAGAGACGACGCTGCTCCAGGCTTTGTGCAATCTCTTTTCCTGCTGAGCAAGGAGGTTCTGGTGAGGTGTCTCATAATCATGCTCATTTTTGCGCTTCCGTAAGGTGTTCCATGCGCCAGATATCGATGGCGGAAGCAGATTTATCTCACTGGCGCCGTCATCATAGCACGGAGTGGGTCCTCGTAAAGACTGTGGCCATAAAAGGGGCATGCTGTCTTCGAAGTCCTCACGGGTTGGCCAAGTCTGGCGCCAGAGCTCATACTTCTGGAGATCCTCTTTGTCCCCGAGAGACAGGAAAGCAGCAAGTAGCGCATGGACGGAAATATCCTTTGGGAATTTTCGCTTGAAAGACATGGGGATGCGTCTCGTCGTCAACATCGCTTTCAGTGGGACCGTCAGAATGACTTCGCCTTTCTTCATACAGAATATGTGAGTATAATTGTCAAGTCACTATTTGATCATGACATACTTCAATAGCTCGTGTAGATATCATTCCTAAACCACGGCCTGGGAAGCGCGCAGGAGCAATTCCATTCACAATGACTCCTTGAGAGATGGCCCATTCCGTGAAACGGTCATGGATTTCTCCTGGCCACCACTCTGGCATCATCTTTGCAGGTTGACCCGGACGGTCTCCAGGACTCAATTGCATGCAATACCGTCGAAGAAAGAGGGAAAGATCGGGATTGGCTTGGCTTTGCTGCAATCCTGTCCTATCGTCCTATCGACCGATCACTTTTAATACATGATCAGATATCGGGGTATCTGATTCATATCACAAGGATACCCGTGCACCATAATATCTCAGCATGGCATCTAAACTCGTAGATCAACAAGAACAAATGATCAGTCCTTCATGATAAGACTGCAAGACAAATTCAATGCTGATAACATTTTTCTTATCGAACGCTTATCGGGCCTACGGCGTCCCACGGCCACCATTTGTGCCAGCCGGAGCTCTTCCGCAATATGTGAAGTTCCCGAAGCATCAGACCATTCTTTGGTTTCAATTTAAAACAGGGTCATGTCCACAACGGCATTGATCCCTCTGCAACTCACAATATGTCTGTCCTCGGGAGGCGCGGGGCAGGACTTGCTGCTCGAGGGCCTACTCTAGCACCATTAGCAACTGCAAGTTATCTCATTCGGTCCTTCTCCGCCTTGAACAGGCCTCCGCCGAAGTATCCCGGCCATGTTCCTTTAACCTTTCTTGAACGCGGTGCCCTGGCTGTTGGTTCTGCAGTAGGGTCGCTTATGAATCCTCGAAGAGCGGGTAAGGGATTTTGCTCGCCATATAAGAATCATCAACCAAGGATTTACTATGATGCCGGGAGAGGCTAACACAGCGTCCTCGTTCAGATCTCATTGCGGCTTTGGGCGAAGCGACTGCTACTCCCTACTTCATATATAGACTCCGCGATGCAATGCTATCTGATGCCACGGGCCGACGTATCCTTCGTGACCGCCCCCGCATCACCTCCGAAACTCTGAAACTGCCGTACCTCCGCACCTTGCCCGAGAACTCAGTGGGACGTACCTATGCTACATGGCTTGATCGGGAAGGGGTCTCCCCTGACACGCGCGATAGTGTAAAGTACATTGATGACGAGGAATGCGCATATGCCATGCAGCGGTATCGGGAGTGTCACGACTTCTACCATGCGGTGACTGGACTCCCTATTTTTGTCGAGGGAGAGTTGGCGCTCAAGGCGTTCGAGTTTCTGAATACACTCATTCCCATGACAGGGCTGAGCATCTTTGCCTTTGTGCGGTTGAAGCCCGCAGAGCGGGAACGATTCTTCTCCCTACATTTACCATGGGCGGTTCGCAGTGGGCTTGCCAGTAAAGAACTGATCAATGTATACTGGGAGGAGATCTTGGAAAAAGACGTTGATGAGCTTCGGAAAGAGCTGGGAATTGAGAGACCCCCGGATCTACGAGAAATCCGGAAATTGATGCGGCAACAGCAAAAGCGGGAGAAGGAGAGGCTCGAAGGGAAATCGTGACTGATCAACAGAGCTCCTCCTTGAGAAGATTTCAGAGATTCTCACTTGCGTATTATCAAAACGAAGCAGTGAAGGATTCAGAAAGAGCTGCAGGAAGGTTACCCTGAGATGTTGGATATTTCGCAAACGGACAATTGGTTTCAAGGCCACAAACTACATCAGGCGACTCAAGTCAACGTCGACTAGACAAAGAGCTTAAGCTAAGGGACAGCTCGCTCTGCCGGTGAATCTCTTTGTCGCCTGGATTCTCTGTCCAATAACCTCACAGTCGGGTATTCGTCCTGGTAAATCGTGAATCATAAATTAACACCACTCATCAGCGACTGGACATGCTTAGTTCAAGCGGGGGTTTCAAAGACTGCCAACACAGGAATTGCTCCAACTTGTAGAATACATAGCTTGTATGCGTATCAAGAAGGACTTAGAGAAACGTGAGACAACTGTCGAATCATGAATTAGCCAGTACCGGTTGTAACGCCCTGAATTTTCCCAGAATCGGAGGATATAGAGGTATCAGAATGGGTTTTATCCGCAAGAGGCCGCTATCATGCAAAGGCACATTTCCGCCGGGAATATTTCTCTTCTCAGAGAGCTGCGCTTATAAGTCCAGCAGGTCGTCGTCGTCATCCCAGCCGCCTTTACGCCGCGAGATAACGATCTTCTGTTCCTCCTCGTCCTTCCGTTGATTTTCCGCAATGGCGTTCAGTAATTCTTTGAGTTGTTCTTCGGTAACCTTCTGGCGGATCTGTCCTGTCTGGGCAAGCATGATGAGCCTGTTCTCGACATCGATGGCGCGCGATTCTTTGACAAGACGGATCCGTCCTAGTCGATCGGCAGCTTCGGGCTCAAGGATTTGGTTCAGGATAGCGGAACGACGTTCAGCTGGCGAGTCAGTTCAGTATGTTGCTGGACAAAGAATCCGGTGTATCGCAAGGTTATCATGGCATACCTTCAGCTTGTCTGCGAAGGAGAGAGTTAGCGATCATGTGTGCATTTGCCGACTGAAATAAAGAAGGCTACATGAGACGGAGAAGTGGTCGACTGGCGACGCCTACCTTCTTTGTTCATCCTGACTCTCCCCACCAGCTCCCCGAGCGCCACCTTGTTGTTGCTGGAGTTGTGCGAGACGGGCCCGTCTGATCTGTAAATTATGTTAGATACCTGGTCGACAATACTAGGTCGGGGACGTTCAGAAACGTCTCGAGGCTGCTGTACCGACCTCTTCCAGCTCCGCGTCAGCCATGGTGATTTATTTTAGCGAGAAAAGGGGTCAATATCGAGGGGTCTTCTGTGCTGCAGATATAGTCCCCTTTTGTTGAGCAAGAATTTAGGGGGCTGAGGCTGTTTCGAAGAGAATAGAGGCTAATACGGAATATTGGTGCTGGAATCTCCAATCGTTCATGCTGAAGTTGTGAACCCCACTTCGTCGCCTGAGGCCACCATAATAGGGGTGGGGCGCCATGAGGAATCGACATTCCCGCTAGACTAAGGTAGTACGTAAGGTAGCAGGATCCGTACCTTACTTAGTTATGATTTGCAGGGCCATCCATGACGGTATCTCGGGCTCGATAAGGGTCACCCTACTATATACCTAGGTACACCATATGCATAGCCTGTTCTGTTCGCCTTGGGCAACTATAGGTGACTGCCTCGTTGCCTACGATCGACATTTGAAACTCGTTGGTCTATCTGTATCTATTTATGTAAGGTTACGATGGAAGTCTCGAGGATATCTGGCATGTCTCAGACATTGATTGCGGGTTAGCGATCCACTTCTCTCTTCTGTAGGCTGTAGGCGTGATGTGTAGGGAGTAGTGTCGTCATCAGTTGTCAATTGAACACTCATCAAATATGATAGTGATCGCATTCAGATGGATAGATTTTATTCGGCAGATCCGTTTAATCTACTCCATATGAAAGGAGACTATATGAGACTTGTATGACGATGATTCCCGATAACAATCAACTAGTCGACTCCAAGGAAGGTACTCGGCTTCTCATGGGTCATGAATGAACAAAGGCTGGAATAAAACATCGCTATGGTAGAAAAGAAAACCAATCCTCCACAAGTATTGCGAAGAAGGAATAAAAATAGCAATTCCGCGATAACAATCCAGTGAATGATGTCTCAAGCGCCAGCCATGGAAGGGACCTGAGACTTGCAATCTTGTCTCTTGACGGAGAATCCCAGTCGAACGACGTAATTCCGTAGGGGCATCAAAGATCGGCTTGCCTATTCTGGAAAAGCGTGAATGACTCTGCGAGTGGATCCCTGTTTGCCTCAGGCCAATACCAGCCACACCTGTCAATGCTCACCGTCAAGCGTCCAGTCGTTTGGGCCTGAAGGACAAGGCCAAGAATCCTCCCAGCAGTCCTTAACGGAGACCCGAAGTCGAGTCCGTTATCGCCTGCTCCTTCAAGACGCCTCCCAACCGCTTCCTCTCCTCACAAAAGAGGGGTTACTCCGACTACCACTCCCTTCAACTAATTATTTACTACTTTCAATATATCACCCTCCCTTCATTCTAATTCTGCTGTCTCTATATACTCTCATTCTGTCCATCGTCTCCGTCGTGTCCGACCCTTTCTCCCGTTTCCATCGTCGTCGACGCCAGTTCGATCTCTTGATGTTTCGTATCTCGACTCGCTAGCCGTTACGTATTCTGCGAGTCCAGTCTGGACCTTAATCTGAACAATTCTCACTTGTGGAAATTCTGGATGGGCGAGGTGTATCACCTATATTCATGGTCGTGACACCTGAACTGGGTCACCGCGCCTCTCCGGTTCTCTGAATTCGTTGCCGCTCTCTCCAGTCAGCCATGGCAGAGTATGTGCCCATTGCCTCAAGCACCATTGAGTATGGTGATCAATGAAGTTACTAACTTCATGAGCAGTTTAATTGCATTTCAAACCTATCATCTCCGGCATAGCTTCCTTTCACCTTCCAATATGATTCCCCGTTCCAGCAATCACAAGCGATCCCTCTCCTCCGGTCCCAGGTCACTTTCTCCTGATAGAACAGTGACGAAGACCAAGTCCACAAATGATCTCGCAGCGATTGCCACCGAGAAGCCTTCTCTTGCAGCTCGTTCCAATAGTGCTGGGAATATCCCTGATAGTGGTTTCAGTACTTTGAGGGACCCAAGACTCGTGAATAACTCTGAGGCATCCGACACGTCATCGACACCGTCCCATCATCCGGATTTGAGCAGTGAGGTTGCTGCTTTGAGTGTGAAATTGATACAGGCGATCAATAATCAGACTACACTCGATGACAACCTGGTTGCCACCCGGCAGGAATTGGAACAGGCTCAGAATCGGATTAAGTCATTGGAGTCGGAAAACGAGAAGTACCGACATGATATTGAGCAG